TGGGTTCAAACCCACCAGCTTTGGCGTATGTGGCTGGCACCCTAGCTGCTGAGCTACATATCATATCATTAGATTTTTTTAACTTTTATTTGAGACAAAGTCTCATTCTGTCACCTTGGGTAGACTGCTGCGGCATCATAGCTCACAGCAATCTCTAATTCTTGGACTCAAGTGGTTAGAGCTCTAACTCTTGCCTCAGCCTCCCAAGTAGCTGGGAGTAAAGGCATCTGCCACAATGCTGGCTAATTTTTCTATTTTTAGTAGAGATGAGGTCTCACTCTTGCTCAGGCTGGTCTTGAACTCCTAACTCAAGTATTCTACCCGCCTCAGCCTCCCAGAGTCCTAAGATTACAGGTGTGAGCCCCTGTTCTTGACCCAAGTTCTTTTAATACTGAAAGAAAGTTTGTGGTAGGAGAGGACAGAGGATGTGAGAAATGCTACTAACCACTTCTCTTTTCCACCATGGACCCAAGTCATCTCATTATAGAAAAAAGGCCCATTAACACAGAAACAAGCTACTTTTAAATATGTAATGTTTAACTATGTTGCAGGATTCATTAAAATCTTATATGTACTCATCATTAATATGCTGAACTGTTTATTCTGTGCCTAATATATTTGTCCACGTCTGTGCTTTCTTAAGTTGTAAATTAACAGAGCTATTACCCTCTCCCCTCCGCTCATCTCCCCTCCCCTCTGTTCCCTTCCCATCTTTCTTTGTCACCCTGGGTAGAGTGCTGTGGCGTCATAGCTCACTGCAACCTTAAACTCCTGGGCTGACATGATCCTCTGGCCTCAGCCTCCCAAGTAGCTGTGACTACTCAGGCCCACCAGTATTTTAAGTTTTATTGAAAATCATCTGAAAATTATGTGCTTGTTATTATTGTTTAGCAGTCCAGGGCCAGGTTCTAACCCACCAGCCCCGGTGCATGTGGCCAGTGCTCTAACCACTGAGCTACGGGCGCTGAGCTGCCAGGCTATTTTTAGAGATGGAGTCTTGCTCTTGCTCAGGTTGATCTCAAACCTGTAGCTCAGGCAGTCCACCCGCCTCGGCCTCCCAGAGTGCTGGAATTATAGGCATGAGACACTATGCCCGGCACAACCCTCTTGTCTTTTTTTGTAATTAGGCGTTTAATGCTTTTTGATGTGATTATAGTTGTATGTGAGATGAAAGTTAGAGTCCTTATCTCCACTTACACCAAGTGAGTACTTGAGATGAATGAAGAGAAACAGACATGGGGCCTGGACACTCTGGAGAACTTTAACTGCTCCTTGTAAAAGACCTAGGGAGAAAGATAGCTCTGATTGTGGCTGATTATCTGTAGGCAGACTGCCCTCTATTTATGTCCTCTCTTTCTGTTGCCGTGGCACATACATGTCGACATAATGGACAGCACAGACACCATAACAGTGCAAGGACATGCTCTGAGGTTGAGCCACAGACTTCTGTGAACTGAAAACGCACACTGGGTCTGGTACAGTGTTTTAAATCTTCTCCGGAGGCACCATCTATTATATGTAGAACTTTCTTCTATAGAGTTTACTTTTCATTATGTTTTAAATCTCACACCTTGAAGTGTGGTCCTATTTGTGATCTTCAGATCATGTTACAATTTCTTGTAGACGTAATCCCAGTAGGTAGGAGCCAGAATGTCCTCAGTTTGTGTCCTGGCCCTGCTGCTGTGGGCTCTGTGCTTTTGGATAAATTACATTTTCTAAACTTACTGAGCCTTGCAATATCTTAATCTTTGATGGTTATGAGAAATAAATGAATGTCATATTTGAAATGTCTGCTTTTTTTTTTTTGAGACAGAGTTTCACTTTGTTGCCCTTGGTAGAGTGCTGTGGCATCATAGCTCACAGCAACCTCAAATTCTTGGGCTTAAGCAATTCTCTTGTCTTAGCCTCCCAAGTAGCTGGGATTATAGGTACCCAGCACAATGCCTGGCTATTTTTAGAGACATGGTTTTGCTCTGGCTGGTCTTGAACCTGTGAGCTCAGGCAATCCACCCACTTTAGTCTCTCAGAGTGTTAGGATTACAGGTGTGAGCCATCACACTGGCCTTTTTATTTATTTATTTATTTGAGACAGAGTCTCACTCTGTTGCCCTGGGTAGAGTCCACGGTATCATAGCTCACAGCAACCTCAAACTAATGGGCTCAAGCAATCCTCTTGCTTCAACCTCCCTAGCAGCTGAGACTACAGGTGCCTGCCATAACACCCACAACACCCAGCTAGTTGCTTTTGCTCAGGTTGGTCTCAAACTCGTGAGCTCAAGCAATCCACCCACTTCAGCCTCCCAGAGTGCTAGTATTATAGACGTGACTTACCACGCCTGGCCCCAAATCCCTACTTTTTAAATACTGTTTTTTAAAAGCATTGTGCTTTCTGGTGCTTTAAAAATGTTAGTTCCCTTACTGCCCTCTTCAGGCATTCTGAAAAGCCTGCATTAGCTGACTTGAATCTTTTCCGTCACTCAGAGGTATAGGTCATATTTTATTAAATTCTAAAATTCCTTTGAGAATCACATGAAAAATATATGAGAAAATTTATATTTTTAAAGAAATAAGTGAGAAAGCACTTAGACTTTTTATTTTTAGAGACAGAGTCTTACTTTATGGCTCTCGGTAGAGTGCTGTGGTGTCACAGCTCACAGCAACCTCCAACTGCTGGGCTTAGGTGATTCTCCTGCCTCAGTCCCCTGAGTAGCTGGGACTACAGGCACCTGCCACAACACCTGGCTATTTTTTGCTGCAGTCTGGCCAGGGCCAGGTTTGAACCCACCACCCTCAGTATATGGGGCCAGTGCCCTACCCACTAAGCCACGGGCGCGGCCCAGTACTTAGACTTTTTAAAAATATAAATTACAAATTTACTTGTTAGGCTTTGACTTCATTGTAAGTATCTCTTTATATCTTAAACTTTGTCATTCTCAACAAAGTAGATCTATATTATGGTATCTTAAATATTGATTCTTTCTGTTTCCTTTGCCCTTTCTTTCTAGGTTATAAAACATGGAGGCTGGCTCGGTTGTTAGAGCCATTTTTGACTTCTGCCCTAGCGTATCAGAAGAGCTGCCACTTTTTGTGGGAGATGTTATTGAGGTGTTGGCAGTTGTGGATGAATTTTGGCTTCTAGGAAAGAAGGAGGATGTTACAGGTAAGAGACCCCCATTCCTCATGTACACAATGGACCACAAACCTTCCTTCCCTTTCATGTTAAAAATAAAGATTAGATGGGTAGCCCAAATAATAAACTCCAATCCTGGCTCAGCACCTATAGTTCAGTGGTTACAGGGCCGGCCACATACACCAGAGCTGGTGGGTTCAAACCTGGCGTGGGCCTGCTAAACAACAGTAACATCTACAACAGAAAATAGCCGGGTATTGTAGTGGGCGCCTGTAGTCCCAGTTACTTGGGAGGCTGAGGCAAGAAAATCACTTAAGCCCAAGAGTTAGAGGTTGCTGTGAGGGTGACATAGTGAGACTGTCTCAAAAAACAAATAAAAAAAAGTAAACTCAAATCCTTTTGTTTTTTTCTTGTGTGTTCCTACTGTGGTCTCCATCAGTGAGGGGAAATTTCTATCATTCCATTGCTCCTTAGCAATTCCTTCAGGAGACTGAATGGTTTGACACCAGCTGCCTCAGCTCTTTTCTTTTCACAGACAAAGTCTCACTCTGATGCCCTGGCGCAGAGTGCAATGGCATCATAGCTCACAGAAACCTCAAACTCTTGGGTTCAAGCAATCCTCCTGCCTCAGCCTGCCAGGTAACTGGATTTTGGCACCCACCACAACACCTGGCTAATTTTTCTATTTTTAATAGGGACAGGATCTCACTTTTGCTCAGGTTGGTCTCAAACTCCTGAGCTCAAGCAATTCATCCGCCTCAGTCTCCCAAAGTGCTACTCTTTCTTTTTTTAATTTGTGAACTTCCCAAGCAAAGCCTAGCCCTTTTCTATACAAGTCCTTTTTATTGTTGTTTGAGACAGAATCTCACTCTGTTGCCCTGGGTAGAGTGCCATGGTGTCATAGCATAGCGATTTTCTAGCCTCATCCTCTTGAGTAGCTGGGACTATAGGTGCCTACCACAATGCGCAGCTGATTTTTCAATTTTTAGTAAAGACAGGGTCTTGATCTTGTTCAGGCTGGTCTCAAACTCCTGAGCTCAAGCAATCCACCTACTTTGTCCTCCCAGAGTGCTAAGATTACAGGCGTGAGACACTGCCCCAGCCTTCTATCCAAGTCTTTACCTTTCCTTCCTTTTCCTTTCCCAGATCTTTATTCTTTGGATCAATATTATTATTTCTGTTCTCAAGATAATGCATTAGCCTGGTGTGGTGGCTCATGCCTAATAAGCAGCTATGTCTAGGCTCAGCGCCTGTAGCTCAAGCGGCTAAGGTGCCAGCCACGTACACCAGAGTTGGTGGGTTCTATCCATCCTGGGCCTGCCAAACAACAATGACAACTGCAACCACAAAATAGCCAGGCATTGTGGTGGGCACCTGTGGTCCCAGCTACTTGGGAGGCTGAGGCAAATAATCGCTTAAGCCCAGGAGTTGGAGGTTGCTGTGAGCTGTGATGCTGCAGCACTCTACCTCTAAATATAAGCTCCATCACTTTCTAGACACTTATATAAGCAATGATACAAGACATTTAGTTCAACACTAAAGAACTGAGGGTCCTGGGAATTTAAGTATGCCAATGTACCGTGTTTCCCCGAAAATAAGACCTACCCAAAATATAAGCCCTAGCAGGATTTCTATGCATTTGTTAAATATAAGCCCTACCCCAATAATAAGACCTAGTGATGGGCCTTGCATTTGAAATGCAAACACCTTGTATTTCAGTGCTGAGCAGTAAGGAAGACTGGAATACCTTTTACCTGCCACAGCTCCTTTCTCTGAGCCTGCGCACTTGCGTGGGTGCACCTGTGGTAACCACAGTCGCAGGCATCCTATTGTGCAAATGCAAACGGCCAGGGAAAGGAGTTCATGCATCACTAGCACCAGCCCCGCCAACAAGGTCAGCTCCCCCTCTCAGGTTCCAGAAGAAGACGACTTAACTGTATTTGGATAAATGTAGATTGTTGTATTATACTTAACAAAAATAAGACATCCCATGAAAATAAGCCCTAGTTTGTCTTCTTGAGAAAAAAATAAATATAAGACAGTGTCTTATTTTTGGGTAAACATGGTAGTCCCCCTCCTTTTTAATTAACTTAAACTGAAGAAAAATGGGTGCCCTTTAAGGATTTCTTTTTATTTCTTTTTTTTTTTTTT